CGGGTCTCGAACCCGCAGGCTCAGGCAATCCACTCACCTCAGCTTCCCAAAGCGCGGGATCACAGGCTGAGCCACCGAGCCCGGCTGAGGGCTGACTTTCAATAGATCGCAGCGAGGGAGCTGCTATGCTACTATGCTATGTACAAAACCCCGACCCAGAAGCAGGTCGTCTGCGAATGGTTTAGCACCAGATTTCCCATGAACGTGCGGTGCGTGACGGGCGAGGGGGCGGCCACCTTTCCGGCTGCGCCCCGTGTCCCGGGACGAGGGGCTCTCCGCACCGGACCCCGGTCCCGGCGTGCAGCGGGGGTCGCCCCGCTGCGGGGACGGGGCATCCCGCCGGTGGGGATGGCGGGGTACCGACTAACCGAGGCCATCCGAGGCCCAGCGGCACTGCCTTACCGTTCCGTCTGGGCGGGATTCTGACTTAGAGGCTTCAGTCACAATCCCACAGATGGTAGCTTCGCCCCATTGGCTGCCCACCATTATTTTATTTTTAAGTCAGAGTCACCCAGGTTGGAGTGCAGTGGCATGCTCACAGCCACTGCTGTCTGGACCTGCTGGACTCAGGTGATCCTTCCATCTCAGCCTTCCAAGTAGCTGGAACTACAGGTGTGGGCCCAAATGCCCAGCTAACTTTTTGATTTATTGTAGAGATGAGGTCTCACCAAGTTGCCCAGGCTGGTCTTGAAACCCTAGACTCAGGCAGTCCTCTCGCCTCAGCCTCCCAAAGTGCTGGGATTACAGGTTTGAACCACTGTGCCCAGCCTTTTTGGTATGAATTTAAAGAGTTCAAGTGCAAGTACAGTTTTGTTACATAGCTATACTGTGTTGTGGTGAGGTCTGGGCTTTCAGTGTCTCTATCAACAGAATCATGCACACCATATCCCCATTAAGTAATTTCTCATCATCTCCCCCTAACCAGGATGGGGATGTCTTGAGTAAAATGTGTGAATGGAGGAATCTGGCTGTTTGCAGTGGAGTGGCTTCTGGTATAGACACCTTTCCTTTCCTCTGTTCAGAGAAAGTGAAACCATACCTCTAGCTCTTGGCTCTCCAGATAGGTGTGCAGCACAGCCCAAAGCCCCAGGAGCTCCTGGCCCTTGAGCCATTCCCAGGTGTTTCCTTCTTGAAGAGTGATACCCCAATTCCTGCTTACCAGAAGGGGAGCCCTAATCCTCATTTTAGTATGACTGGAGCAGAGAGGGAGAGTGTGGTGGGAAATGAGCTGGGTAGACGTGACTCTTACGGCAAGGGGGAGCCATTGAAGATTTAGTCAGAACTCTCTAGACTCACCTCTGCTGTTCTCCCATATCCAGGCCATGCTCCACCTACATTGGCCACTCAGTTCCCCAAGACATGTTCCTCCTTCCACAGGGTCTTTGCATATGCAGTTTCCATTGCTTGGAAGGTTCTCCCCACCTCTCTTCACTTAGTTAATGGCTGTTCATAATTCAGGGGCCAGTTCAAACATCACTTCCTCCAAGAAGTACTCCTCGACTCTCCAGACAAGGCCTCAGATATAACATACTAAATTTTTCCTTCTTGGTGCTTGTCATAGTTTGCCAGGAAATACTTGTGTGACAACTTGCTCAGCATCCATTGTCCCAAAACTAGGCTGAAAGCAGAGCCAGAGCTGTAGTCTGTTTAAAAAAAAAAAATTCCAGGCTGGGCATGGTGGCTCAAGCCTGTAATCCCAGCGCTTTGGGAGGCCGAGGCAAGAGGATTGCCTGAGCTCAGGGGTTCAAGACCAGCCTGGCATCTTGGTGAGATCTCATCTCTACAATAAATCAAAAAGTAAGTCAGGTGTGGTAGAGCGTGCCTGTAGTTCCAGTTGCTTGGAAGGCTGAGGCAGAAGGATCACCTGAGCCCAGCAGGTCGAGGATGTGGTGGCCATGAGCATGCCACTGCACTCCAGCCTGGGTAACAGAGTGAAACTCCGCCCCCCACCCCCCAAAAAAATTCCAAGATGGAACTGTTTTGCTGATTATCTCTTGCCAGCACTGAGTGTGGTGATTGGCTCTATAACCGTGACAACCAGGGCCTGCTCAACACGTCTCTGAAAACATGAGGCACAGACGCTCAAGAGTTTGAGGCTTGGGGTCGGGAGGGCCAGTGTGAGGCCAGAGAAGTGCGGAAAAGACACAGTGAGGGTTTGAGTCAAGACAGGGCAGGACTGGAGACTGAGAGGCATTCCTCAGTCACTTGGGAAGGACTGATGGGGTGTGGAAGAAAGAGGAGGTGTCAGGAGCCACTGCAGGTTCCTGCGTGGTAGAGGGAACATGGTGGTGCCATTCCTGAGACAGGGCCCATAGATGGGACATGCCATTGATACCTCCCACCCCAGTCCTTTCTCTTGGCAAGGGCCCGGACTCTGTCCCCAGCACTAGACACGGGGGACATAGCTCAGCAGCACAGCTCCTTTTATTAACCATCTTCCCTTTTCCAAGTGTGCACAAGTAGAAAAGAAACAGTGAAATACCCTGATAGGGAGGGTGGGGAAGAGAATGGGAAGGGGGCTCCTGAGGTTAGGCCAAGAGGCCAGGTTCCAGCTCCTTTTCCCGACTGCTCTGCCTCTGTGCAGACTCCCCTTACGCCCTACCACCCCTGAAGCAGCACTGGGAGGCTGTGCAGCCCTGCTGACTGGGCTGCTCTCCTGCCTTGTCAGGGATGGCTGGCAGGCCTGGTCCTGTGTAGGAGGCTGAGGAAAAAGCAGAGTGGGGCTGGCCTCGGGGGCAGAGAACAGCAGGCACCAAGAGGGGATGTGAGAAAAGGCAGTGCATCCAGTCTGGGGACTGAGCAGAAGTCTAGCCAGGCTCCGACCAGCCTCGGCTTCTTAGATCGTACTGCCCTGAGTGGTGGGCTGCTGGGCATGGGGTTCCACGCATACCCAATACGGAGGTTTTGGGCAGGAAGGGTCAAGGAAATGTCAGGGTTCCGGGTAGAGGAGGAAGCCTGATTGGTGCCTGGAATTGGCCAAGGTGAGCGGCAGCAGCTGTGGGCCCAGGGCGGTCAAAATGGGAACATGAAGGGAAGACGGCGTCTCTCCTCACCCTGCCTGGGTAACATCCAGGTGTCACTCTGATGTGACTGACAGGCCACAAGGCTGTGCCGGAGGGACATGTGTTGCTGAGGAAGCTGTGAGAGAGGATCTGCACTTGCCTCACATTATGTGAGTGGGAGAGACTGAGCTACACAGAGAAACGGGATAGAGAATGAACAGGTGACAGGTGTGTGGAGGGAGGGAGCAGACAAAATCCAGACAGGGAGGGAAACTTCCAGGCCAGCATGACAGGCTCAAATGTTGCCCGGGAGGCAGTGACAAGCCAGCTGCTTTTTCCTCCCTGGGTTATTAGGCTAAGGCTGGCGGAGGGTGTGTTTGGGGGGGAGAGGAGGGGCAGGGTGAAGAGAAGCAATAACTGAAAATGGCCAGCCCAGCCTGCATGGAAGCTCTCAAAAGTTCCCAGCTTTCTCCATCACCCACCCTGGAGCCTCTGAGTAGAGGCACCATCTGGAATCTGAGAGAGAAATGCAGATTCCTCCACCCCAGTTCCAGCCCCATGAGGAAAGCTAATGGAGGAATACTCACAGCACCGTGGCACGGGACGCCCTGGCTTCAGAGCCAGGCTGGCACCGTTTGTAAACATTAGACTTGGTGATGTCCGGTGATGGAGGAGAAGAGGCTTGCCTCGCCTGGACCATAAAGTTTGGAGAAAGTAACAGAGTGGGCCCCTAGAGGCCTGGGAAATGCTTATTAGCCACGGGAAAGAGGCTACCAAGCTCATGGGGGCCCAGGAGAGAACAGACAAGGCCCGAATCTACCTGCCCTTGTATTTGTACGACTTCAATGCCACCTTGAAGTTGCCAGATTCCAGAGGAAGCCACCGTTGGTCCTGAGGTAATGAACACAGCCTCTGCTCAGGACAGGCTGCTCTGGAGGACGGTGGCCTTTTGTCCAGTCTTTCTCCAGATGGAAGTCAGACTGGGTTCTTTCTTCTGAGGCCTACTGACCCTCTTCGACCATAGGTTTCAGGCATGGAGAAGTGGCGAATTAGGAGAGGAAGAAGGTTCCTCTGTGACATAAGACCTCCTGCCACTGCCACGGCACTGCCAGGACTGGGGAGCAGGAAGGGAACTGGGTTAGAGCTGTCCAGAGGTATGGGGCCTGATTTTGTCTGAGTCCCTGGGAAAGGATGTCCAGATTTCATGCTACCAGTTGAAATGATGGTGGACACAGAGTGGCCCTACAGAGACTCTGGGTTTCTGGGTCCCACCGCAAAGGCCACGTGTTCCTGGGAGGCAGCGGTTATGCCAAGAGCTCCACAAAGATGGCATTAGCTGTGGTCTGCCCGAAGATGAAGGCTCCCAGGGTGACCAAGAGGACTCCGTAGCTGACCAGCACCCACCAGCTGTAGGACAGAGGACAAAAGGGGCCTGAGCAATCATCCCAGCCCAGGACTCTGCAGACGTCAATGTATGTAACAGTTAATTACGGTAACTACACCACCCCTCCCGTTGGCAGAGCACTTTCTGCTTCCCAAGGACTTTTCCATACAAAGATATGTGGAGCCAGGTATATTAGCTCTAATCTACAGGTAAGGAGACCAAGACCTAACAGGATTAAGTGACAGGATTAGGATGCCAGTCTCCTGATAGAACTATGTTCAAGAAAAAGCAGGTCATGTGCAATGTGATTCATTTCATTAAAAAACAGAAACTAAAAGCAGGCATCTGCAAACATCTGTATCAAACGCAGCAACAGTCAGTCACAGTGGCTCATGCCTGTAATCCCAGCACTTTGGGAAGCAGAGGCGAGAGGACTGCTTGAGTCCACAGGTATGAGACCAGCCTGGGTAACTTGTCTCTACCATAAATCAAGAAAATGTAGCCAGGCGTGATGGCACATGCCTGTAGTTTCAGCTACTTGGAAGGCTGAGGTGGAAGGATTGCCTGACTCCGTCAGGTCAAGGCTGTGGTGGCTGTGAGAGTGTCACTGCACTCCAGCCTGGACAACAGAGTGAGATATTGACTCAAAAGAGGAAAAAAAAAAAAGCAGCAACAGGTTTATAACTGGGTATTGAGATTAAGGATGACTTTTACTTACTTACTTTCTTTTTTTTTCTTTGAATTGGGGTTGCACTCTGTCGCCCAGGCTAGAGTGCAGTGGCACACTCACAGTCACTGCAGCCTCGACCTACTAGATTCAGGTGATCCTTCTACTTCAGCCTTCCAAGTAGCTGGAACTATTAGGTGCAAGCCACCATGCCCAGCTAATTTTTTGATTTATTATAGAGATGAGATCTCACCAGGTTGCCCAGGTTGGTCTCGAACCCCTGGGCTCAGGCAATCCTTTTGCCTCTGCCTTCCAAAGTGCTGGGATCACAGATGTGAGCCGCTGAGTCGTGCTTAAGTTTTCTATAATGAACAAATGTTATTGCATAATACTTTGGTTTAAAGCATGCAACCTGTTCTCAACTTCTCTACTATGCAGTGAAATAGGCATATCAAAACAATATTTCTTTTGACTTGGAATCTTACTCTTGTTGCCCAAGTTGCAGGGCTTAAAGTACTTTTTTAAAATGGGTAACATGTGTCTTGTTAGAAATTCAAACCCTAGGCCGGGCACAGTGGCTCATGCTCACAGCCACCACAGCGTTGACCTGCTGGGCTTGGATGATCCTTCTGCCTCAGCCTTCCAAGTAGCTGGACCTACAGATACACACCACAATGCCCGGCTAGTTTGTGTGTGTGTGTGTGTGTGTGTGTGTGTGTGTGAGTGATTTACTGTAGAGACAAGGTCTCACCAAGTTGCCCAGGCTGGTCTTGAACCCCACACCACAATGCCCGGCTAGTTTGTGTGTGTGTGTGTGTGTGTGTGTGTGTGTGTGTGTGTGTGAGAAAA